GGACTGGGGGGGGCACTTACTTATTTTTTGCAGTCCGAAGCCACCGCCGGAGCCCTCCGGAGCCCCGCCCGCCGCCAGCCGGGACAACCCGCCCCCCGCTTAAAGCCGCCGCCGGGTAATTCGCGAGCTGGGACTCATCGGTGCGGCGCCTCCCCGGGGGGGGCAATGCCCCCCACAGCACGGGCAGGGGGGGAGCCCACCCAGAGCTCATCTGTCCTGCCGCTCAGTGGAGTCCAGAGAGATAAAATGCCCCATTTGGGATGAACCGGCAGTTTTAAACACTTCTGAATGGGGACAGAGTCCGAGACTTGACCATAAAATCTCGTTTTGAAAGAGTTTAAAATAAATCCCACGCTGCCCTAGTCTTGCTATTTAAAGGGGATTATCTAAGAGGTTTATGAGCACGCAGAGGAACAACAAGACAACTTGTGCACCTAAATCCCCTCCAAGACCTTTGGAAATCCCTACGCCACCAGTCCGAGGTTTGCACCCCATGCCCAGGGAGGTCAAAGGCTCCTCTCAGATGTGTGGGGTTTGTTCCCAGCCCCACAGCACGCACCCGGTCTCCAGTGATGGTCCCTTCCCCACCGAGGACTGTGCAGGGGAGGTGCCCAGGGGGAGGATTGGTGCCACAGAGCTGAGCCCCAGCACCCCCATGAGATGGAAATCCAGTGAGAAATCCCCGCCGTGGGAAAAAGCCACCTTGTACCACTCCAGACAGTGAGGGTTTTTTAATAAATACCTTTTTCTTTTTTCACAGAAATATACCAAGTTTTACAGAATACAAACTGCAAGGATACTGACCGAGAATCAAAGACAGAGGATGCAGAGCACCCTTCTATCTCCCTCCAGTCTCTTCCAGGCTCTGACCCCGACGCTCACTGTCAGGCCTTCCCATAAGCCTGACTTGCTAAGGCCGAAAGGCAGAGTAAAGGCCTGGGAGGGGACAGGCAGGGTGCCAGCAGCCACAAAACCCCCCTGTGTCCCGCCCCAGGAACGGCCACACTGGGCAAGGCTCAGTGTGGGCCGAGGGCAGGTGCTGTGAGAGCACCCTGGGCCCGAGCGGGGTGCAGACAGCTGAGGGATGCACAATAGCCTTTTGGTGCTGGTGGAGAGACTGGTGCTGGGGTGAACACCGAGGGGTGGCAGTGCTGGGAGTTTCTGGGCTATTCCTGGGGGTGTTGCTGAGCACAACCCCCTTTTTAACCCATAAGATGTGACTAGGAAAGGACAAGTCCTGTTGCCTGGACCGCAAAAGCAGCTGCCCAGGAAAAACGGACACTCTGGCCCCACAAGAAAACACCAGGTTCTGCCCTGTCCTGGCACCACAACCACTCGGTCAGGGTTTGACCCTACTGCCAACCCCCTGGCATCGCTGGGTTGTGGCATCATCAGTCAGCTCTCACCTCCATCAGCAGCCCCTCTGCGCCACAGCCGCAGCCATGGCCACCAAGCAATCTGCCCATCAGAGGGGCCTGGGGGAGAGTGGGGTCTCATGTTCCCCTCTACCTGTTCTGGAGGACAAAGAGCCCCAAAGAGAGAAGCCAGGCAGAACAGAGAAGTTTGGGCTAGGGACAGGGGAGGTCTGGCCCATCTGCAGGCTCCCCATGCCAGCATCCCACCTCTGGGGCAGCCACCAGACAGGCCACACCCCAGGAAAGAGCATCCTCACCGCTTAAAATCATGGGATCACCTTTGGCTCAAGGTCAGAGATGACCCCATCCACCAGCCTGGCCGCAGCCAGACCCCCAGCTGCCCAGCACCCTGCAAGGGAAAAGTGGAGAGCTATCAGGAAAAGGACCTGCTCCACCAAAGTCACTTACCTCACGTACAAGACTACCACAAGCCTTTCACCCTTTCCAGGGGGGCCTAGGAGATCCAAGAGCACCTCCTTGGCTGCTCCTCCCTGATCTCCGGACAGTGAGTAGCACTACAGGTGCTGCAGGACGGACCAGGCTTCCCACTCCTACCTGGCAGAAAATCCACACAAGGGAGGCACTTTCTCCCCAAACATAGAGTGTGGATGCCCACTGTGGGGATGGACAGGAATTTGCCACGCCCCTCCTGCATCCCCAACTCCTAATCAGAGCCCTGAGCAGCAAAACAGGGCCCAGTGAGGACATGGGGTAAGGCTGAGCAGTGCACCAGGGAGGCAGTGGGGCTGTTTTAATCATGGGAAATGTTATGTCTTTTCGAGGGGGGGGTGAGGAAATCGAATGCACCATGGGGAGACCCCCGTGATGAGCCAGGACAAGCTGCTGCTCTGCTCTGGCTGCTACAGCACTTATGTGAGCAGGGAGTGAGGGGCAGGAGACAGCTGGCTGGCTCCGGAGCCACCCCTGCCACCCAGCCTCACCCCGCTTGGGGACAGCTATTTTTGGTTCGGAGGGTAAGGCTATTGTGTGATGGCACCAGCTTGTACAGGTGAGATGGGGTGCCACCTGGCACTTGAAGGGGGTCCCGGGCACGGCAAAGGGAGGGTGGGT